AACTTAGAAACTAAGACAGTTAAATTGGGACGAAGGGAGTACATATACTCAAGAAATTAGAAATTCAACCCAATAAGTAACATGAACAAACACATAAAGCTCATAACTTTTGGGACTAAATCCAAATCATGCATTACTCTCAACATAATTCACAACCCAACAAAACAAAACAAAAACCAACAATGTAAGATTCACCTGTAGCTTTGCAGGACCCCCAAGTCGAATTGCAGATATTTTCTTTTGCAACAAATTAGGATCATCCACTACAACTTGTGACTCTGAGCCATCAACAACTATTTGTTCCATTCGCCCCTGATTTTTACCACTCTGACTGCAACACCACACTCTACACACACATATATCAAATGGGTCATCAATTAAACCCGAAAAAAATACAGAAAAAATTGGTTACATACATATAGATAAATGTATTGTAAGTAATTCGTATTTTTCATTGTACTGATAACATTAAGCGTACGTAAATGTGAAAAAAAAAATTACTCACCTGAGATTGAAGCGAAAAGAGGAGAAGGAGGTCCTGGAAATGGGGATGTTTCTTTTACAGTATTCAATGTGAGATATCTCTTGCTATTACCTCTTTTAAGTTTATTGGTTTTGATATTTTTGTTTGGTTGTTTTGATATGAGCTACTGTTGTTATTGAGAATTGATCAAAGGCCTTGACTTTTGGTGTGGAAGCTTGACTTTTGGTGAGGGCTATGGATTTGTGTCTTTCTTGTCTTGTAGGGGTAAGGAATTAGGAGGGACTAAGCTTTTTCTTGATCATTGTCATGTCATGAAACTAGATCATATAGTATAATTTCTTGAACCTCAAAAAAAAATAGTAGAAGTGTTTTGTTTTTGGTTTGATCACTGTTCTTTAAATCATCCAATCATGAATTTTTGATCTAATAGCATAATTTCTTGACAAGGACAACATAGCCAGTGTAATCACACAAGTGGGATCCAGGGAGGTCAGACCTTACCCCTACCTTGTGAGGTAGAGAAACGGTTTCCGATAGACCCTCAACTCAAGATATTAAATAATTTCTTGAATTTCTTTAAATTAGTAGAATTCCTTTGTTCTTAGTTTGGTTTGATGATGGAACTCATCACCAAAGCTGTTTTTCTCTTTGAGTTTGATTACAAACATAAGTGTGAAAAACTTTGGATTAGAAACAAAGTGAATGAATAGTGAATTTCCCCTTGATGTTCTTCCTTTAAACATTATAGTAACCTAATTTTCAATGCATTTTCTGAAAAGTAATTTTTTATTTAGCTTAGATAATGAAGATACTACTATTCTAAACATGCTGTGGTAGTCAAAAAGGTAATGCTTACTTAATGTTGGACCCACCTTAATTGCTTGTGGTGTGTTTTAATAGTGATGTAATATGGATGGTCAGGACCTCCTAATTTTCATTCAAATCAGTATTAACTTTTCTACATGTGGCTTATACATTTTTGTGAAAAATATAATATTATTGGCATATTCTGTATATTTCTTTAATATTTTTGGCAAATGATAGTTGAGCACTTTGAAGAATATGCCTTTCTTTAGTTGTTTTCTTTACTCATCTAGCATCTTTTGTTTTATAATTAAGAGGGAGGTTTGATTTAACCCAAAAAGGAAAGAAAAAAAGTTCAACCTTTTTTTTTAGTTTGCTTTCTTTGCTCATACAGCATCTTTTGTGTTTCATTCACTGTTTTATTCAATTCCATACTTGTGATATGAACTCTGTAAGTTGCTTGGCAAAGTACTTGTTCATGTTTATTCTAAAAAAGCAGGTTACGAATAAACGATCGAACCATAAAGTCCCCATAGTTGCTGCTGCATCATTGAACATTGCAGACTTTGCTTCAGAAGCTAGGGAAAAAGAAGAAATTGAAATAGTCATTCCCTTGTAAGCCTATAGTGGCGGCTATAAGACCAACCGTTCACTTTGTGTAAGCAAAACAAATTTGCTTGATCTACATCGATAGTCCCCTTTTTTCCTTAATTTTTGGTTAATATGGTAGATTTTGTTTATGGCAGTTGTCTCTCAATCTTGTTGAATTGGGGAATGCTCACGATGCCAAAGTTTGTCATGTCTGCTCCAGTATCTCCTTCCCCTGCAGAGGTTTTGTCGACAGACAGAAATGAGCTTTCTGCTTTGAAAGCAGGTCTGCA